AGAGAATACCAGAAGAATGTCTATATGTGTTTCATTGATTATGCAAAGGCATTTGACTGTGTGGATCATAACAAACTGTGGCTGACTCTGAGAAGAATGGGAATCCCAGAACATTTAATTGTGCTAATGTGAAACCTATTCTTGGACCAAGAGGCAGTAGTCAGAACAGAGCAGGGTAACACTGCATGGTTCAAAATTGGGAAGGGTGTACGCCAGGGATGCATCCTGTCTCCATACCTTTTCAGCATGTATGCAGAGCAGATTATCCGAGAGGCTGGGCTCTATGAGGAGGATTGTGGCATCAGGATTGGTGGAAGGTCTATTAACAATCTCCGTTATGCAGATGACACAACCCTGCTTGCTGAAACTGAGGAGGACCTCATGCACTTGCTGCAAAGGGTCAAGGACTGCAGCCTTCAGTATGGACTAAGGCTCAATGTCAAGAAGACAAAGATTCTCGCCACTGGACCAACTAGCAGCGTCAGGATGGATGACGAAGAGATTGAGAGTGTTCACAGCTTCAGTTTGCTCGGCTCCACAGTCAACACTCTTGGTACCAGCAGTCAGGAAATCAAAAAGCGTATCACGATGGGAAAGTCTGCTGTTAGGGACCTCTCAAAGGTACTCAGGAGCAACAGTGTCTCTCTGGAGACTAAGGTGCGCCTGATACAGGTCATGGTATTTGCAATCGCTTGTTATGCATCAGAGAGTTGGACAATGACTAGGGAGGACAGAAGGAGAGTGGATGCTTTTGAGCTGTGGTGCTGGAGAAGGGTACTGAGTGTACCATGGACTGCCAGGAAAACAAACAGATTTATCTTGGAGAGGATTAAACCAAGCTACTCCTTGGAGACAAGGATTCTGGGTCTTCGTCTGACATACTTTGGACATGTTGCCAGGAGGGACGGGTCCTTGGAGAGGGACATCATGCTTGGGAGGGTGGAGGGACAGCGCAGGAGGGGAAGACCCTCTATGAGATGGATTGATTCGGTGACTGGGGTAATCGGGATGGGTGTGTCAGAGGCGGTGCAGTTGGCGCAGGATAGAGCAGAGTTTAGAGCTGTTGTGCATAGGGTCACTCTGAGTCGGAAACGACTCGACGGCACATAACAACAACAACATGTCCTGGATCAGGCACACCTTAGTCTCCAGACTGACATCATTGCTCTTTAGTATGTTGAAGAGGTCTCTGACAGCAGACTTTCCCAGTGCAATTCATCTTAATTTCCTGTCTGCTGTTACCAAGAGTGTTGATTGTAGAATCAAGCAAACTGAAGCTTTGTTTGCTTTGTTACCTTGACCAAATTCCTTATGCCCTAGAAGTCTTATCTGTAAGATTAGAGTGATGATTGCACCACTTTGTGAAGTTTTCAGGACAAGGTTCAGATGTTGTTCACATAGGATAAGGTCATTATGAGTCGTGGTGGATTTGATGACACCTAAGAGCAGTAATATTGAGTATAACATTATTTACCATGTTATTTTAAGTATTGATTTGGCATAGAATTGTATTACAAATCCAGTATTGTTGTTGTTGTTGTTGTTGTTACGTGCTGTCGAGTCAACTCCTGACATGTAGCGACCCTATGTACAATAGTTCTGAACTCTGCTCTGTCCTGTTTCACTGCCAGTCTCACTGCTTCTGACAAAACTGCCCTCATTACCCCAGTGTCAGTCCATCTCATCTGGGCTATTTCTCTCCTGCACTGTCCCTCCAGCCTTTGAAGAATTATGTTCTTCTCCAGGGACTGGTCCCTTCAGGGAGTATGCCAAAATATGTACAGAGCTTCAAAATCCCTGCCTCCAAGGATCTTGGTTTTACCCTTTCTAGAACAGACCTGTTTGTTCTCTTGGCAGTCCATAATATGTTCAGTATTATTCTCTAGCAGAACAACTCAAAGACATCAATTCTTCTGTCATCTTTGGTCATTCATTGTCTGTCTTTCTGATGCATAGCAAATAATTGCAAAGGCCATGGCGTGGATCAGGCACACCCTAGTTTCTAGACTGACATCCTTGCCCTTCAGCACCCTGGAAAGGTCACTGACAGCACATTTTCCTAATGCAGTTTGTCTTTTGATTTCCTGACTGCTGGTACCAAGAGTGTGGATTTTGAAACCGAACAAGCTGAAATTGTTAACAATGTCAGTCTCTTCTCCACCTATCATTGTGCCACCACTAGGCCCAGTGGTAAGAATTTTGTCTTCATGATGTTGAGCTGCAATCCATATTGCCAACTACAGTCCTTGACCTTCTGCAGCAAATGCTTCAGGGCCTCCTCATTTCAGCAAGGACGGTTATGTCACCTGTAACACAGGCTGTTATGATCTTAAAATTCTGAGCTGGATCTTTTAGAAGGCAATCATAGAGAAAGTTGGGGGCCCCATGTTATATCTGAGGCTATTGAATGATAATAATGAAGTTATACTTTTAAACCAGACAGTTATCAGCAATCAAATGCTTTATGTTGACAAGTTAATCCATCAAGTCAACACTTGGAGAAGGGGGAAAAAATCATTTAAAAGATGGCAATCCCAGCCTTCAACTTTGTAGTGACTTTTTGTAGAAAAGTAGCCATGTTTTTATTGAAGACAATTAAGATTATTTGTTTCACTTTGTCTTTTTTGAAAGAAACAGCTGATGTTTAAAAAGACATTGGAGTTCCTCACTGTCTGACCTCCAGCTCTCAAAATTCAAACAGATTTGGATAAAGTATTAGATGAGTCTTTCACCACTTGAGCTCTCACTGCTTGCCATCCAATACTCAAGAACTGAATTTAGATGGCACTGAACCTTTCTTTGAACCTAACTCAAAATCTTCATTAACTAAGTTCAGGAATGGAATAGATTTTCTTGGTAATCATGCTCACATGAACTTGATCTGCTAAGGAGGTAGTTGGCATGCCCAATACAGTCTTCTTAAGATAAGAGCCATTATAGAATGAATTCTAGAATTAAAAACTACAATAAAATGTTAACATCAGTCAGGTTTCAAGATTGTAAGCAACAGGTGCCAGCTCTGTTTATTAAAAGGTACATGCTGGCTCAGAGAATCACTAGGCAGGCTAGTTTCCAAGAACAGGCACTTCACCTAGAACTGGGGAGGCCACTGGGAGCATTGGCTGAGGTCTACGATTCCACTTCCGCTCTCACGAGTGCCACCATCACCTTCATGTGACTTCGTTGTTACCAGCACTGCTGGCCACTGTCAGAAAGGAAAACCCTATCCAGAACTACTTCCATTTGTCACTGGCCTCCAAGACTACTGGCCTGGGTGCACTTGCGGGGTTAAGCACAGGTTATGAAGAAGACTGAAAATATAAGCTCTGGGTCTCCCCTTTTGATGGAGGGCCACTGTATTGGTAGTTCTCCAAATGCAAGAAGGCTGTTCAAAAGGTGCAGGCATTGTACCTGAGTAGGCAGAGTAAGAAAGAGCTCTGTGTGAATCCTTCATCTGTCAACTCATGATGCTCCAACCATCCGCCACCCAGACCTTGTCATCAAGGTAAGTGACATTGGTCACACTGATTTGGAGACTGGGAAGATGACTGATTTTGTCAGGTTTGGCACTGGTCACCTGTACATGGTGACTGTACAGGTTGCCGTGGGAGAATTGGTGTGATCACTAACAGAGAGACATCCTGGTTCATGTGAAAGATGCCAATGGCAACAGCTTTGCCACTCAGCTCTCCAATGTTTGTGTTACTGGCAAAGGCTATAAACCATGGGTTTCTCTCCCCTGAGGAAAGAGTACCTGCCTCACAGTGGCTGAAGAGAGAGACAAGAGACTGGCTACAAAATAGAACCGTGGGCAAAATGATCTCTAGTTGATGTGAATGAAGTTGTTTATTGTTATGTGCCATTGGGTCACCTGCAACTCATAGCGACCCTATGTACAACAGCCCTAAACCCTGCTCTATCCTGTGCCAATTTTACTGTCTCCAACACACCTACCCCCATTACCCCAGTCACGGAATCAATCCATCTCATCAAGGGTCTTCCTCTCCTGAGCTGTCCCTCCAAACTCCCAAACATGACTTCCTTCTTCAAGGACTGGTCCCTCCTTGCAACATGCCCGAAGTATGTCAAATGAAACTTCAGAATCCTTGACTCCAAGGAGCAGCCTGGTCTTACCCTCTCTAGGATGTATGAATGAAGAGGACAAAATTAAAGATAATACAACATGGGGATTAAAAGGAAGGTGTGGGTGGCCATAAACAGGACAGGTGCCTGACAGAACAGTTACAACCCATCTAGTGAGTTGAGGTCCAGCTTTCCTTTGTCTTTGTTTGATTGAACTAAAAAAAAAAAAGGGTATACCTCTTATAGTAAGGCTAAGTTTTGTCCCAAGACACCTTTGTGTCAGTAATGGAGTCTGCTTATCTGAACTGGGTTGCTGTGTGGAAGGTTTTTTTTTTAACCAGGAGTCATGATTAGGAGTCACTGCATTGACTAGCCCATCCCATCGGGCATATTTCCAGTCACTTTCGGAACACACAACATTTCTCTCTCTCTCTCTCTGTGTGTGTGTGTGTGTGTGTGTGTGTGTGTGTGTGTGTGTGTGTGTCTGTCTGTCTGTCTGTCTCTGTTTCTCTGTCCCTTTCTGTCTTACACAGAGCTGGACTTTCCAGAACCCCAGGATTCCAGAGTACCTGAGATATTTCACTTGGAATATATAAAGTCTGCCCTGGTAACCTCCTGGCTGGAACATTGTCTCTGTGGGTTATTATGTTTTGAATTCTACCAAAAAAGAAAATATAACAAGCAAACAGATCAACCAGTATTTTGGAAAGTGCCGTCTCCCGTCGCTGTGAGGATGCAGATTCCTGCAGATTCCTTACAATGTGGACGGGACATTTCAATCAAGTAGTTTATGTTCAGCTGTAACCTTCGAGAGCTTCTCCCATCCTCTATCTAGAGATCTGGAGTACCCTCTTAACATTCCCTTGCCTTTGTTTGAAAGCGGGCCATCCTAATTCCATAATGTTCTCTCTTTGCAGGTCCGTTTACTCGACCTCACCCAGCTTTATGGAGAATGGTTTTTGGTGAGTTTTCACTGTGGTTTTTTTTTTTTAAAGAAACTTTGGGGTTAGCAGTTTTACTTAGTACTCCAAAATTATAACTTTAAAATGTTTTATTTTGTTGTTGTGTTGTATACCATCGAGTTGGAACTGGCCCATAGCTGAACCATAGCAGGGAGTTTTCAGAGGCAGTAAATCACATGGGAGGAGATTGCTCATCTGTCCACCCACAAAGCAGCTGATGGATTAGAACTGTGCACCCTTGGGTTGATAACGCAATTCCTTACCACTGAGCCACCAGAGCCCCCTGTTTTACTTTTAGGGGGCCAGATGCCATCTTTTGTTTTGTTTTTTTTAATTCAAACTCTTTGCCTTAAGAAGAAGCTCTGTTGATGACACGACTTGTACTTAAATGTGAACTCAGCTCCACACACCACTTATGCCCCATCTCCGCACACGTGGGATAGGGCTTGTTTTACTGGTTTTCCTTCTCTGTCTCCATGCTGCTACTTGCTGGTAAGTGCGTCCTGTGAGCATACTTGTCAGCATCTGGAAGGGGCGGAAAACCCAGGATGCCGATTTCTTCAACATTCAGAATGAGAGGAGGCTTGGAAAAGAGAAAAATATTAAGACAAAGAGTCCTAATAAAGTAGCTCATCTGTATTATTATTGTTGTTGTTGTTGTGAGCTGTCCTCAAATTGATACCAAGTCACGGGGACTCTGCACGTGCAGTGCACAACTGCCTCTCAGGGTCTCCCAGGATGTTACCTTTCAGAAGCAGATCAACAGGCATGTGCTCAAGGTGTCCCTGGATGGAATTGAACTTCTAGCCTTTGGGCTGGGAGTCAAACACTTTTCCTTTGCCAGCCAGGAGCTTCATGGCAGTATTATTAATATCACATAAATGATACCATGGAAAGGTATCTTGATACTGTATTTTTCTCTAAAGCAGTCATTCTTTCTATTTGAACTCTTTCAGAACTTGGGTTCAGTATTGGATATCAAAATATACATTTGAAATATTTTTATTATAATTAAGGTTTGGTAATAAACTTTAAATAGAAATAATAAGAGTCGTATTTTTCTTGATTTTATAGCCCAAATAGCCTGATCTCTTGGTTGAATTTGAAATTAATCTTTGATGCTTTACCTGTTTGGATATCGACTTCATCTTGCCTAAGATAACAAACGAATTATTTTAGGTCTGAAAAATAATATGTCATATGGAAATACAAAAAGGACTCTAAAAGTGAACATGTCATTAAAAGCTGCTTATTTCTCTTATTGTTGGCATTTTAATGTTATTTAAATATATTTTTTTCTATTGGGAAAAAAAAGTTGCTTATTTCACCTTCTTCCTTCAAAGGTAAATAAAGCTCTTAGTCTCTTTGAATTGATTAAAAGTCTTTCTGTAAGTGACTCTATGGGTACCCACTGAGTGGTGCTGTGTGCTGCTGTGTGCTGCTGTGGGCACTGAGGTCTCAGGTAGGACAGACAGACAGCAGTCTGCCCTCCAGGAGCAGTCCGTCCTTCCAGTAAGGGAAGGTTGTTAGTTGTTGTTCAGCACTGTCAATATAGAACTGGCTCGTGACCATCCAGCGGCTTTTCAAAGACCATAAATCACACAGTAGGTGATTTACTTTATTTCTCCTATGGAACAACTGATGGAGTCAAACTGTCTGCCTTTCAGTTGGCAATGCAGCTCCTTACCACCAAGCCCCCAGAACTCTCTGAGAAGGTAGACAATCCTGAAGAAACAGTTACTAAACAAATATCAGGTATTGCTAAGTGTTAGCAAGTTAATTACAACTACTTGAGTTAAGAATAGTGAGTGGTGCTTTGGCTTGGGCAGTGCGGAAAGTCTTGATTGGGTGGCATTTAAACCAAAGCTCACATGCAAAGGATGGAGACATGCAGAGATGATTGTTGGGACAGAGGAGCATCCGAGGCCAAGGAGTAATTTGTTAAATTAATCCAGTGGCCACAAACAGCTTGATCAGTTTCAGACCATTTTACCTGGACTGTGGTGGGTCCAAGGAGAGCAGTAAAAAAAAAAAGTTACTGGGCAGGAGTAAACATGACCCTACAAGGCTGGTGGACTAGGCTAAGAGCATGGATTTTGGGGACAGTGGGAGGTCATGGCAGAGCATTTCTCAAAGAAATTACCTGATTTCATCAACATTTGTAAAAAAGATAGTCCTGACTACATTATTTTTATTCCATGGACTTAATATTTCTATTTGACATTGTAGGCTACTTTGGGTTTATTGGTTACTTCCCATTTGTTTGTGATCCCTGTATGATGAAGGGAGCTCCAGAGGCCTTGGGTTAAGGAGTTGCATTGCTGATACAAAGGTTTCTATCCAGTGGCTTTCCCGCAGGGGAATGATGGTCAACCTCCTCCCAGGTAATCAATCTACACCTTCTGAAAAACCACTAGAGGGTCAGCTATGAGTCAGTTCTAACTGCACCAGCACTGTGTGTAATGAGCAGTTTTAGTGCTCAACTTGAGACTTTTCTGGACCCCTGGAGTCCTTTGATAAATGATGAAAACTATAGACCCTTTCCCGATACATACAGATAACCTTGCACATAAACCATTCTCCATATAATATCCAGTGTGACCTTAAACTTCAGTTTGTGTCTCTGTTCCACAGACCTTTTCTGTCCTAAGATAATTCTTTCAGTAGGATCATAATGTAAAAGTGTAGTGGTGGTGGTTAAAGGGAAAATTGACAGAAATGGCTGGTACATATGTGCAGACTTAAGGAGGTGCTCTGACCAAGGAACCTGCCAGTCTGGGTCCACTGGGCCAGTGGTGTGGATGGCTCGGTCAGGCACTCTTCACAGTAGCCACCCTGCCCTTACCCCTTAGGGCCCTGCTGGATTGCCTGGGATTGCTGTGGTCACAGTGGATTTCATCCCAGGCATGAATGTTTTTCTCTGGAGCAGCTCATCACAGATTAGTGCTGAGTCAGACTTGGAGAGGCTTTTGTGATCTAAGGTCATTTATTACAGTATCTGATGTCCTCCAGAAGCATCCTTTTATTTCTAATAGGTTTCACAGAAAGAGACATCGCATGGCCTCTGGTGGTTGATTTTCACCTCTTCCTAAAATGAGTGCTCTGCCTTCTTAGTGCTCTGCACTATGAGTTTTCATTTAAAATCATTAGGAATGATTTTTAGAGTAGGGATTACATTACAGTAAAGCATGTATAGATTAGTGTCCCAGTGCCACTAGCATAGTAGTCCCTACCCTGGCTGTCGCCACACCTCCAGGCCCAGAAAGCATCCAGAACTACATTTGTAAACGATTCAGAGCCTCTTACTTCCTTTCCTACTGATAAAAGCCCTTCCAGCACTCTCCTTGTCACTTCAGATACAATCTGCAGCCTTGGCTGTGGCCTTCCCGTCCTGCTCTCCTGGGCCCCACCTGCCACCTCAGTGCTGCCTCTCTCCATTCCCATTCGAACAGTTCCTGTCCTAAGCATTTATGTATTAAGGGTCTTGTCTGCACAAAAATACTGCATCCCATCCACCTGCCTACATTCCCTCTGGCTGTTAGTCCTTGGTCTCATGTTAAATAGCCTTTTCTCTGATTGTTAACAAACTGAAGTTTGAATGTTGATCAGACTCATCTACAAAAGTGATGACATTGTAATACGGATCTCAACAGAGTACTTTACAGTAGTAGTGTCTTCTTCTGGAATCAAGCTGGTTGAGTTTAGTGTGTGGTATGTCTGACAATGGGATCCTCTCCTGAACTTGAGTCTGTCTTTGTTTCCCTCAGGACTCAGCGTGCTCTACTTCCTGTTCCTGGTCTTCCTCCTTTTCCTGAATTTTGAGCAAGTGAAATCCATAATGTATTGGCTAGACCCAAATCTGCGATACGCCACCAGGGAAGCAGACATCATGGTATGTACTTGTCTGCAGTTCCTTGGAAGAAGAGGCGGGGTTTTGGATTCAGGAAGTAGTTGTACGTTTTCCATTGTTCCACATTTCCTATGTGACTATCTAAAGTCCTAATCTCTTAGCTAGTCTTTGAGGTGTATTGTTTTCCACAAGGAACACAGTCCAAGGAACTGGAATCCTGTCGTGTAGCAGAGGGTTGTTCTAGGAAGAATATAAACTTGACCATCCTGCAACATGGAGCTTGAATTCTGCCTTGATGCACCTTAACTGTAGGGCCTTGGGCAAGGTGCTTGTTAGCCTGTTTCATGTTTGTCAGGTAGAAAAATACAACTTATTTTGGAAAGTTGTTGTGAACTAAATGGAGTCGTTGGGTGATAGAAATGGTTATAACTCCGCTGTTAATAAGAGAGCTTTGTGGTTTGAGTTCACCCAAAGGTGTCTTCGCTTCTTTCCAGAAAATCAGCCCTTGAAGATCTTACAGAGGCCCATTCTATTCTGACACATGTGGAGTCGCCGTGAATGGGGATCAAGTAGCAGTTGGGCTTTTGGGTTTGTTTTTTGCTGAATTTATGTGCAGTTATTTAAAATTTATACACACATACCCCTACACCTTGTTCAGGTGGCTGCTTCTACCACCTTCACTGTCACTGTAAGCTCCTTCCGTATCCAAATACCAGGCTCCTTTCCTGCTTGCTTGCCGTGAATGGTTCATTTCTAATTATTTAGGCCGTTCATTTTATTTTCATTTTTTTTCCTTTTAAATGGAAACATATAAAATTGCAGGTGTGGCTAGAACTGCTCTGTGTTTTGACTTTGGGTTGAGATGATGTCACTATTTAATGCTATTCCTTGAGTTGGATTGACTCAGTGACATGGGTAATGGGGTAATAGGAGATGGGTCTGTCAAGAGACAGTGAAACTGGCTCAAGACGGCACAGGGTTCAGAGCTGTTTTACATAGGGTTGCTGTGAGTTGAAGTTGACTCATCGGCACTGAGCAACAATATTTGAAAGCAAATGAAAGAAAACCTTGACCATTGCTCAGAAAAAGAAGAGTCCTTGATAGGTGTGCTTCTGACAAACAGGCAGTAACATGAAGGGGCTCAATATAAGGTCCATCATCCTGTTGTAGTTGAGATTGGTCAGTTTCTTTTTGGAATGATGCTTTTAGGTTTTAATTTTTTTAAAAAAAGATGCTAAAGGCAAAAATAAAAAGATGTCTCGAAGAAAAGTCAGTGTTTCTTGGTTTACTTGTGGAGGGTCAGCTAAAATGAGATCTGCCTTCCATGAGATGGGTTAATGAAATGCCACAAGAACAGAGTGAAACCTAAAAGTGACAGGAAGATGGCACAGGGCCAGGCTGGGTTTCATCTACGAGGTCACCATAAGTCAGAAGCCGACTCTGTGGCTCCTGACAACAGCACATGATGATGGTGGTGGTGAAGATGGGGACAAGAACAGCTCTTGACTACTGAATGTCTTCTCTGCCAGGCACTGTGCTGGCTGCCTCACTGAGACTAACATCCCCGTTTAACAGATGAGAAAATAGATGCTATAAATGGATGAGTATCTGCTCAAAATACAGGCTGGTAGATCTCTCTGGCTCCAGAATCTGTCCTCTTCCATTTGGCTGTGCTTCAGGTATATAGTTAAAATCATAAGTGCTTTGATCTTCAACAGCAGCCTTGTAAAATAGAAATGGAGAGAAATGGTTGGTTTTCTCTCCACCCACAGCTTTCTTGCCACCTTCTGCTGCCACCGTTGGGAACAAACCTTGCTTCTTCTTCATTTCCTTAGGACTGTAGTGTCACAGGGACATCTGAATGTCGCAGTTTACAGCCCCCAAAAAGCTCAGGTTGGCTTTGAAAGCCGAGTTTTTTCAAGAACTGGCCAACTCTCTCCTGCCAAGCAAAACAAAGACAGAGGCTGTTTTTCAGCCTCTTGATTTCTAGCTGATGTGGGACGCACAGTTGTTCATCTCCTATCACTGTTACTACCTTAATGCCATCATCCACATGTTCCTAAACTCTGAGGACTGTTCATAGAAGCGAAGCAGTTCTGATTTCTAAATGCTAATACTAATTCATTTTCCCTCAAGAATCTTCAGACATCGGAGCTTTTTAAAAATTGAACAGGCTATATATAATGGTTGGCAGGGTTATATCAGTTCTTCTCATTGTCAAAGTTATGGAAGCAAATGGGTTGCTCAAGTATCATTAATTTTCCCCCCTTTTTATTCTAAATAGGAGTACGCTGTAAACTGTCACGTTATCACCTGGGAAAGGATCATCAGCCACTTTGATATCTTCGCGTTTGGCCATTTCTGGGGCTGGGCCATGAAGGCCTTGTTGATCCGCAGTTACGGCCTCTGCTGGACAATCAGTATTACCTGGGAGCTGACGGAGGTAAGAAGCGATGGGCAGTCCCAGGGAGAGGATTCTAGATTATGCAGTTTGTCCCATTTTTTTTTAAATTATTAATTTCAATGACCGTTTACAGAGAAGTTTGTCCCACTTTTATGTGAGAAGGCGATACTCTAGCAGTCAGGTGATCTCCCCGCCTGTGGAGGCACTGTGCTCTAGTGCTTCATGTGTAAAATTGGATTTAGATAATTCCATAAGAAAAACTCATGCTTTTGTTGTTTTGCTTTTTTGAGAATCATACCTTGGTAACTTGGTAACTAAAACTGTGTTTTATTACACAGTTCTTATTTTGTTTTAACATGTCATAATTACTGATTTTTTTTCTTTTAAGCTTTTTGTTATGAATTTGGTTAAAATGTCCAGAAAAAACCTTGGTTTTCTATTCAGAAGTTCATACACATTGTGTTTCCACTTCCTTCCTATGTTGACTCTTTGCATTCACTCTTCTTTCCTGTCCCTTCCTGCCTTTGGAGCTTTGTCCCTGGGCACATGCCACCCTTTGGGACTTGTATGCTTGCTCGTTCTAAAGAAGCATGGACCTCCTTCATATGCATGTGCCTATCTTACTGTTCACCTTGTGTTGTTGTTTCATGACTTTGGATGGACAAATACTGCATAGTGCCACCTTTATAAAACGGGAATGACATTGGTGTTAGGGCAACTAAGAAAAGAGGAAATAAATAATATACACTGCATTGAAACAGATGAAGGAAAGAACTGCTTAAAAGGAATATATGACTGGGTATTATTTATATGACAACAGTCCAGGGTAAGAGGTACATAGTAAAGTGGACTAAGGTGGGTGTGGGGAATTGTACAACAATGAAATAATTTTTTTTTCCAAAGAGAACAGCGAACTGGAGAGGCCAGGGAGGAAAATATGCAACTATAAATGAATGGAAATCCAAGTTCTCTATAAACTTTCATTAAAATCTCAGTAAAAAAATTAATCATAAAGATTTCTTATTGCTTTTTATACATTAATCAATCCACTGCCCTCCAATAACTCTCCACAACTTTCCATCAAGTTCCCAGGCCGTAGATCTTTATGGGAAGATAGGTATTGCTTAGCTTTCTCCCAGTAAGCAGCAGGGAGATTTGAACCAATGACCTTTTGGTTAGCAATCCTACGTGTAACACACTATACCACTAAGACTTCTTAAAATTTTATGTAATGACAAAATAATAGTAAATAGATCAAATTAGAAGTAAACAGTGCCAGAATTTTGTTGTTGAAGAATTACAGGGGCATACAGGCTATTTTGTGGTTGCAGATAGACTTCTTGTATGGATTTTCTCCATTATCTCTATAATCAAAGCTTGTGTCATTTAATTACCAAAAGAGAATAAAATCTTCTGAATATTATAGGAATGACATTTTAGAGAAACTATTGTTTATTTTATTCATAGACTGATTCCCAGAGAACAATATTTGGCCACATGTGTATTTCCTTTAATGCCAGTCACTGCTTCAGCCCCTGCTGAGATGGTTTGTGTGCTCAGCACTTCGTCTATATCCTCATACGTCCTCAAGCTAGAAAAGGCAGAGATTGTTCCCATTGTGCAGGTCTGGGAGCTGGTGCTCAGAGCCGTGGTTCATCGGGTGAGCCAGGGCTGGGTTCTGGATGTGCTTGATGTACATGAAGCTGTGTGCCTCCCCTCACACTGTCATCTACCCCTGAACTCCAAGCATCTCCATAGCCTTCGCCTTCCTCACGCCCCTTGGCATCCTCTTCACTCACCCTACAAGCCAGGCATGTGCCTGTCTCATCCTTTTCCAGCTTTTCAGCATCCTTCTGAACACCTCTGCCACCCACATCACTCTGTCTGTCCCTTGCTCCTTCCTACCTTCGTCTGATCCCCTCATCTGTCACCTGAATTACTTGTCTCCTCCCTTCACCATTTGTTACCACAGCGATCCTTTTCACATCTCAGCCTCATCGTGTCTTGCTTCTAAAAACTCTTCAGTGTTTTCCTTTGCTCTTAAGATGAAATCCAGACTTCTAAGTCAGCCTTCAAGGCCCAGTGCTATCTACCTCTGTCCAGCTTTCTAGCCTCAACCAAGAGCCCTGTCCACTCCTTTCTCTCTGCTCTGGTGAGCTTGACTTTTCTCATTTTTACAAAATGCTGTGTTCTTTTCCACCACAGAGCTCCACAAGCCCTCCCTTCTCCATCCTGTCCCTTTCACTACTAATCCGCTCATCTGTCAAAGTGCACATTACTAATGGTCTGAGGTAGTCTTTAAACTTTAAACCAAAAATATTCCCTGAAGCCTTAAAACCAATCTGTAGTTTAGCTTAATTAATAAAGGATGCCTTCCTTGAATATTCAGATGAGGCGGTGATGCCCAGCTTCCTGGGAGGAGAAGTACACATCAACTGTTAAAAGATTTAAACTTGACAAAGAGATGTTCCTCAAAATTGTCTTACTCTAGGCTAAGGGGAGCTCTGTTGTCTTAGTGGTAAGGAGGTTCACTGCCAACCTAAAGGCACATAGTTCAATTCCACCAGCTGCTATGTGGGAGAAAGATGGACAGTCTCTTTCTGTGAAATTGACTGCCTCTGAAAACCTGATGGACGGTCAGCTATTTATCAGTTCCAACTTGACAGTACACAACAGCAACAACAGTAAGCCTTGAACATTGTACTCTTAAGAATGGCACATGGCATCAAATTGACAATGGTAACTTGAAAAAATTAGATAAGGAATTTATGTGCCTGAGGGAGAACAATTAACAGGAGTGTCAGTGAATTGAACCTGTAAAATTGGATTGATCTACGTTCTGCTGTATATATTAGCAGACGATAAAACAAAAGGAAACGTAAGTTGAATCCCTCTTTTTTTTTTTTATGGCCATGTCTGACCATTATTTACTTCACAAAGGGGAACTGTCCCCATCAACAATATCATTAACATAAAACCAGTTTCCATGAGGTCATATATGTGCCCCACACTCCCATACCTCTTTCTCTTTATGAAAGCATTCCCTAATTGTCACGTTGGTCTAGGCTTATAAGAAATTTGATACTTTCCCTTCACCTTTGAAAAGCCCATCACCTTTTAGGTATTTGGTAAATGTCTCTTTTTTTATAACTCAGCAGGGCAGGGACCAGGTCTGCATATTCCCACATTACAGTTTTCTGCCTTACAAAACCTCAACCTCTGATTTTTCAGGGTCTCATTTTGCCCTGGTCTCTCCTAGCGTCTCCCCAGGATGGGAAGACGCTGAAGTGCATCCTCCACAGCCTGTACTGTTGCATAGTTGTGGGTTTTTTGTTTTTTGGTTTTTTTTACATTGTGTGTTGCTGTGGAGCAAAAGTTAGTTCTACACCTGTGGCTCAGAACCAAGGAATACAATGTGGGGTAGTTCAGGTCCTGCTGAATGAGCATGCAGCCCCCTGACATCACAGGCTGTAGTTGCCACTGTCTCATGTAGGCACACTTGATATGAGCAACGTCAGTTTTAGTGTTTCATAGTTTATAAAGTGCTTTCATAAATACAGTCTTAGCTTTGTAGTGTGTGTGATATTACTTCAGAGGTTTATAGTTATGAAGATTGCCTTGTTCCAGAGAACCTGTAGACATAATCTTTCGTCATTTCAACCCTTCTGAAAGTGGGTCTTCACACAGCAGTACTCACTTCTGTAGATATGGCCAGTACTAGCTTTGTTTTGGACAAAAGGATTTCTATAAGAGATTTCTGTTCTACTCTTGATTGTTCTTCCCCCCTCCCCCATCTTCTTTATCTCTCTCTCTTGAAACCAGTCATGTGGTGGTGGTGGGCCATTGAGTCCCTTCTGATTCATAGTGACCCTTCATGACGGTGTAGACATGACCCTGTGATCTTTACAAGAACAGATTGTCTAGTCTTTTTCAGCTAAAGTGGTTGGAAGGTTGTGAATTGCTGGCCTTCTGGTGAACAGCCAACCACTCAACCACTGTGTCACATTGAACACAGATCTACCATTCATGTTCCCACTCCAGTGAATCTTCCCAGATGCCTCCTTTGTCCCCACCTCCCCTCACTATGTCATCACTGTAACATTGGTCAGTCTCCCTTCCTGTGTGGTTATAGTTATCTGGGCAAACACCGGACTCCACTGTGCAGCAGCAAGATCCTTGACTTCATATGTCCCATCTCATCTCAGTCACTTAATAAGAGGTCATCACTAGCATGAATTATTTGTGAGATTTTCTATTAAGCTATTACTTTTCTGCATCACATCATCAAGACCTAACCATCCTGCATTTATGATGTGCCCACTGTTTCACCAAAACATCTGGGACATATTTTCTGTGAATGAATAGTCCAAATTCTTAAGGTGCATGTCTGAAGAATTATTTCAATGCTTTGTTGTCACTTAAGAAAACTTTGCTCCTTTTTTTTGTAACATTCTTCTTATCCAAGGGAATTAATTAGTGGTTTATTTCAGGAGGGGTTTTAGTGAGAGAAGAGCTGCTTATTAGTTACGAAGCATCAGACGTAAAGAAAAGACTGCAGACCGAGCTTCTTGGTTTCTTTTTAAAGGTTCTGTTCCCATTTGACAATCTTTGTACAAATTGTTCAGTGACATTTAACAGGGTGTTGCCATTCTCGTTATGTTCTGTGATGTTCCTTTTCGAGTACTCTAGTTTCCCTAGTCCCTTATCTTTGTTTTGAAGAGATTGTTGACCTTTTGACAGAACTTGTTTCTTTTAATTCATTAGGAAAAAATGAAGCATCAACAGCTATCTTCTAACATTGCCGTTAGGTGCCGTCAAATTAATTGTGGCTGGTAGGAACCCTGTGAACAACGGACCTGAACCTTGCCCTATAAAGGGAGAAAGTCTTTTTCTGCATCGTACGTTTGTTTTTTTGTTTGTTTTTTTTACAACTCTCGTCTTTTTCTGTGTCTTCAGCTTTTCTTCATGCACCTCCTGCCAAACTTTGCTGAGTGCTGGTGGGATCAAGTCATTCTGGACATCCTGTTGTGTAATGGCGGTGGCATCTGGCTGGGCATGGTCGTGTGCCGGTTCTTAGAGATGAGGACTTACCACTGGGCAAGCTTCAAGTGAGTTGTCTCCTTTTTTCGATGTTGGTCACATTTTTCCTAATGTGTGCTTGTGTACTTTTGCAGATCATACCTTTGCATATTCTGCTACTCAGTGAAAAAGAATGAACTTAATGCTATTAATTGAAATGCGTATGATTATAACCTAATTTCAGGCGTCCATCCAGAAGCTACATGTTCATTTCTGCCTCTCATCCTCCCCATACATTCAGAGGATCCAGATGCCCTCTCCAGGCCAAAATAATTCCAAGATCCATCCTGGTTTTAGCCCGGCTGCCACAGCCCCCATCATTGAGCTAATGGGGCCTCTGATGGGCTTGCATCCTGATTAAGCACTGGATTCCTTCTTACTCCATTGCTGAAGTAACGTGCTTCAGAAATGTCAAGCTCTATGTATTGTTGCGTTGGTTTGATTTCTCTAGGGATTGTTATGGGCCCAGCGGGTGATGTCTCCTTCTCCGTCCTCTCCGAGGCTGCTGAGGTTCTGAGTCAGCTCACTCTCTTCTCTTAGTGCAGACGCATGTGCATGGGGATTGACCTGTGTCGCGAGGGGCCGGGTGACTCATCCCTGCTTTCCTGACGCACTGCCTTCTCGCGTCCTCCGGAAGCCTGCTCTGACTCCTTAGATCACTTGCATTTCCTTCGTCTGTGCTTCACCAAGGGCAGACTTCACCTGTGTTACTGCTCTGTCCTGCCTTGCTGGACTCGCTTTTCAACTTGACCCTGGTAGGAATCACGTTACTGATGAGAACAAGGAACAAGAGAATCAGAGGAGAGATAATAAAAGTAGCTATTTTCATTGTGTTTAAAACTTAATTGAGTCTTTCTCCTTGTCATAAAATATTCTTCTGAGATAGAATTTGAAAGGGCTTCTTCACATCTCTGTCTAAGGGTAAACCATAAATTATTTAGCTAGTTTTTGTTTTTTAGCTAGTTTTCTTATATGATCATTTAGTTGCTTCAGAGTTTTTACTTTATGAAGCAGGAACATTCTTGAACATGTATCTTGTGTATATCTGATTTTTTTCAAATAAATTTCTATCATTAGATTACACTAAAATACACTTACATGTCCCTTTCATTCTCTCCTTGGATTTGAACAACTTCTCATAAATGTGACTTCATTTTTTTAAAGTAATCATTTCCTCTTTTAAGTTTATCTAGTTTTCATTTCAAATTTGAAAATGCTGATTTTTATTTTGTGTAGGTTAAATGTTTTTTCTGTATTTTATTTTTATGTTATTGTTGATATGTACTGTTAAGTCAAAACCAACTCCTAGTTGACCCTCCAGTGGGTTTTCAGAGGCAGTAAATTGCATGGAAAGAGGATTTCCTGTCTTTCTCTTGTCGAATAAAACAGCATACCTTTGGGTTGGCAGTGCAATTCCTTAGCACTAAGCTACCAGACTTCTCTTTATTGTCTTCTGATTCTTTCATAATCTCACCTTTTTCTGTTAACAAAACCTAATTGAACCAATCTCAAATATGTTTTTATACGTGATGTGAGGAGGAGAGTTCTCAGTGCTTTTGCAAATGAATAACCAATTTTCTCCATGCCTTTTAGTAAAGAAGCCTTTCTTTAGCCACTTACTTGAAAGTGTTCTTCCCCTACCCCACATTTAAGGTAGTAGATAATGTAACGAAAGAAGTGGTTGTGTTATGTGTTAGCCCAAGCAGGCTTTGTAAGAGGTGTCATATTTGAGCTTTACATCAGTCCCAGACGTAGATACTATTCTTTGCTCACTCTTAGGATAATGAAAATGAGCCAGCGATGGTTCTGTGAACGAGAAAACCTGGCAGTCTGCTGCCATAAAGATTTCAGCCTTCGAAACCCCAGGGGCCAATTCTGCTCTGTCATGTCGGGTCGTATGACTCAGAATTGACCTGACAGCACAAAGCAGCAGCACTCTTTGGAAATGAAGCACCTTCTCCAGCTTCCTTTTTTACCGTGTTTTTGTTAGCTGTCATAAAGTCAGTTCTGACTCACAGAGGCCCCATGCAAAGCAGAACAAAACACTGCCTGGTCCCCCAGCAGCCTCGCAGTGACAGGCTCTTTGGAACCCATTGTTGTAGCATCTGATCAATCCAGCTCATGGAAGGACTTCCTCTTTCTCTCTATCTTCCTAATACCTCAGCTCAGGACCAGCGGCCCTGCGGGCATCCCTTTGTGCCTGGGCTGTTTCCAGGTTGTTGTCTTTAATGTCTCACCTTCTTTAGTCACCAGCTCACAAAGGAAGACCCCTCCTGGCCCTGCTGTCCCCTGCCCTCTGAGGATGGTGACAGCTCTGTGCTGTGCCTGTCATGCTGCCGTTCCCCATCAAGAGTGTGTCCCTCACCGCTTCACCTGTGAATAGCGAGGCCACTGTTTGAAAGATAGTTCAGAGAGAAGGGATTCTTTTTGTTCTGAGCTTTTGTTATAAAGGCATCAGTGCACAATTTTTCCTACCTTCCCCTCCTTTTTTTCATCTCTTTGGATTTTCATCGGAGCCCTTTTCTTCAGGGACATTCACACCACCACTGGGAAAATTAAAAGAGCCGTGCTGCAGTTCACTCCCGCTAGCTGGACCTACGTACGCTGGTTTGACCCGAAATCTTCGTTTCAGAGGGTGGCTGGAATCTACCTTTTCATGATCATCTGGCAGGTATTTTCTTTGTTGTTTGTGGGATATTTTTTTTTTAAAAAAGATGTCCAGAAATAGAAAAAAGTAAATGAACAGAAGCCTCTGGCAATCAAGAGTTCATGGTGGTTTTCAATGCCTATCAGCTAGGTGCTTGGGAGAAACACAGCTATCCAGCTGGTCTGTAGACTGATTAAACAAAACATGGCACAGGGATGATGGTCTTTTACAACTGTGGTCCTGCTTCATTGCGAGGACGTTGTAAAATACAGGTATTTGACTTACAAATTAGAAACAGATTTTAATCCCCTGATACGGGGTGTGTGTGTGTAAAAATAAGGTCTTGTTTATCCATCACCCCGTTAAGTCCAGCAATAGCTTGCTTCTTAGAGTAATCATATTCAAGATTAAGGGAACAAATGGGTAGACTTCTCTTAGGTCCCAGCCAACTTCAGTGTTTTGTTTGATATTTTAAAACTGTACTTTGGCCTTTTCCATATTGTATACTTTGTGGAAAGCTGACTGAGAAGCCTCTTGCTGCCTAGGAAGAAAGGTCGAGGGAGGACTTGGTTGATCTGGAGCCGCCATGTTGTCCGTGGTGAGAAGCCATCGTTCCGAGCAGGCAGTTCCATTACTGAAGGCATCTAAACAGCTGAGGATCTTGGAGCAGGATTATCAGATTTGTCTGGTTTCTAGAGATAGCCTTCTTACTGATCCAGATTAATTATTTCATGTCCTTTGGGGAATAGGTGAGGGAGGCGAGCTCTTGTCTGAAGGATCTTTTGGAACCATCAGAAATTAGGTATTGAACACATCTGCACAGAGCACTCTTGACATAAGAGAACAAATCAGCAGATGTGACTCGATAGAGGCTCTTCCTGGCCCACACTTGAAGGGTACAATGCTTAGACCTATCTTAATAAGAGGGGACACTGGTGGCTTAGTGGTAAGGAGATACACTGCCAAGCCAAAGGCGTGGGTTTCGAATCCACCAGATGCTTGACTGGAGAGTCTCCTCCCTTTCAATTACCACCTCTCCAAAACTGCTGAAGGGTCAACTACAAGTCAGTTCCGACTTGCTGTCAGTGCATAACAACATCATTTTAATAAATGGAGTTTATGTGTACAAACATGTCTGAGTATTTAGATTATTGCCCTGATTTGGGAAAGTCAGCATTTCTAAAAAGAGGACTGAAAATAGATTAGTATTAAGGCCAGTCCATGAAAAGTTGCACTTGGATCCAAAGGCCGTGCCTCTGGTAGTTCACATCCACCAGTGATTCTAAGGGAGAAAAATGAGTGTCTCCTGTCATGCACTTTATAGCTTCAGAAACCACTGGAGGGTCAGCTATGAGTCAGTTCTGACTGGATGGCAGTGAGCGAGAAAGAACGTCACAGCACGGGCCGTGGGAGCTGGAAGTTTGCCTTGAGCATGAGTAAAACCAAAGAGGAGCAATTAGTCAAGGAAAGACAGTATTATCCTCCCGGAAGAGCACTGCCTGGCAGCATGTTACAGACCTCATCTTCCGCATGGGTGTGAATGTAGCAGTGTGATCAGCTTTTCAGTATTAAGTCGTGGGCCATTTTATGTCATGTCCTTGAAGTCAGTCCTGTGGAGAAATGACTCACAGTCTAAGTAATTAGCTTGAGCCGGCCAGTTCCTGTGATGATTCTCAAAGCACAGTGCCCTTGCTGTAGTTTCTACTCCTTACTTGAAGTCTGGTGGGGAAAAAGGAGCTTACCTCTGAATGTAGAGCAGCTATGTCCCAGCCACAGTGTGCTTTGTGCTTCTCAGAACCCATCATGGGATGAACTACACAGGGTGTTCAGTATCTATTGAATGCACCTCTCACCTCTGTGAACCAACCCTTCACACTCACTTTCTAGAGCTACCATTAATTGAGGGGCTGCTCTGCTCTGTGCCAGATAGTCATTATTTCGTGATGGATAACAAGCTGCTGGTGGTTATTCTTCCAGTCGGGTTCTTTTAGACCTGGCCCAAGTTCTTAAGGCTTCTTTGGTGTCTCATGCTTAATTTTGTTACCATGATTCCTCCTGTCCTCAGCATGTGTCTTTCTCCCTGTCCTGGAAGCATACACACACGACCCAGGTAGTAATCCTGCAAGCCAGGAACTATTCCCTTTTAGCAGAAATCTGGGACCAATGTTTAGCCAGTATCCTCCAGGATAGCCATGGCATTTGTTAAGTGTTAAAGTATTTCCACGCCACTGGACAAGTAGCACAAGACCCTGGATAATGTAAACAAGAACTACGAATGGAAAGGCCATTTCGGAAAGATTACAGCCCTGGAAACCTTATTCTTTTAGGACATACAAAGGGTCGCCATGTGTGAGATTGCCTGGATGTCCTCTGGTCTGATTTTGTTTGGACAAGTCCCTGAACCGGCTCCTCCCACCCCAGCACCTTCCCCCAGACCCGTGACTGGTTGGTGCACATACTATGCTTGTTTTTAACCACTGTGGACGGCAACCCTTGGAAGGTTCCATATGTGTTCTGAAAGTGCTGTCACCATTCCAGAAGGACGTCCACGGAGGGAAGAACGTATGACCGTGATTTAGCATGAAATACCCAGGCTAATGAACTTCTCCTTCTCTTCCAGCTGACTGAGTTGAATACCTTCTTCTTGAAGCATATCTTTGTGTTCCAAGCCAGTCATCCTCTAAGCTGGTGCAGAATTCTCTTCATCGGCGGCATCACGGCTCCCACAGTGAGGTAATTCTGAACAGACTCAGCTGTCATTTGAGGAAGTTGGTCTGCTTTCTGATGCCCTGTTGAGCATAAAGGAATTCACATCCACTTTCAGTCTATTAAAATGCCGTGCTGAGGACTATACTCAGTCCTTGGGTGATGTACACAGCTAATGTGTTCTACTGCTAACTGAAAGATTGGTGGGCCCAGTCTACCTAGAGGGAGAGGATATTTTAAACGAAAGGTGATCTCATACTGGAAGATCAGCTATTGATGACCCTTTGGCGCCTACAGGGCAACTGCTTAAAGAATTGTGCATCTAGACAGTCAATCAAATGCTCAGACATCAAGAGCATTATTGAGGCTATTGGGGGGAAAAGTGAATAATCAACACCATGCTAATTGTACTCTCCGTTAGTTTCAGACTCCTGGATGGTTATACTTTTCCCTTCTAACAGACAATTTTAAAAAGTAGAATCTGTGAACCTGAGTTATTTAAAGTTAATGTTATTGTTGAATTGTTAGTTGTCACCGAGTCAACCATGATTTATAGTGGTCCTGTGAACAACAGAGTTGAACCTTGCCCTATCTTACACCAATCCCTGATTACCACGCCCCCCCGTTACAGTCACTGTGTCTCTGACCCTCCCCCTTTACGAGCATGATCTCTTTTCTCAAAGACTGGCCCCTCTTGCAATTTCTAAATGAATGTTAGAAATTGCCACTATTTTTAAGGTAGAAGAGGAGAAATAGTGTCTGTCATTTGTCAAATACAGTCTTGCTAGTTTCTTTTCAGAACTGTAGTGTCAGCCTTCTTTTGAAAGGTGCTCTGAGGACTCCCAGGATGAATAAGCATTGGCACTCACACTGTTAACTTGGATTCTTAGCGATCTTGTAGGTGGGACCCTGGCCTGCCCTCCACCTAGACTGACCACATAGAACTGGGGAGACTTCCATTTTCATTTGTTTCATTTGTTTCATTGTTTCATTTTTCCTATTTAGATGGCATTTGGGTTTTCTGCCTTAGTTGGAATCCTTCATTGATTAGCAGAACCACCAAATATCCTGTAGGTAATTGATTAAAAAAAGAAATTAACTGAGTAGTTAAAATGTTAGTGTTATTGAACCTGTAGATTGACCATATAAGCACTTGTGCTTATAAATCACACACACAGAGGACCTCACTTGTCTAAGAGAGCAGATGTTTCAATGGGTTAAAACCTTGGTCTTCCTCACCCTTAACCCTCTAGCCAATACCTCTTGTCATCCTTTATTAACACATCATTCATTAAAATATCCCCAGATGCCAGATTAAATAAAGGTTGACATGAATCAGCCTTATGGATTAAAGTAAAAAATGTCACTTTTTTTTTTTTAGTGGACTAAATAGGAAAATAATCATTGTTAAGGCAGAAGCCCTTTGTTACTTTATAGGCTCTTGGTTTATTAAAGTACTTATCTCATAAATGCTATCTAACTTTTGATGGCTTGGTGTTCCCATCTCCCTTCAGAACATAATTTGAGACTTGCCTTTATTTTCAGGAAAAGATTAGCAGAGAGATTTCTTCATAAAGTTAAGAATAGTCAACAAAATCACTAAGAAGGAAGCGGAGAAAAACCTGTTCTAAAATAAAATAGCAAATCATAATTTCAGTTCTTTTTGGGGGGGTTTCTACTATCAAGGACATTTTTTTCTCTCTTTTTTATTATTAAATTGTATTAGTTTTAATGAACATTTACAGAAATTTTGGGTTTTCATTCATTCATTGTTGCACTATTTTCTCTACCCTCCTCCCCAGTTCGTTCTTCTTTTTTTTCCCCCCCCTTGAAAGTCTTTTTTAATTGTCCCATTGCCACAGTGCTTGTCAAACAGCTCTAATTAATCTCCTTTGTCAGTGTGTCCTTTGCCATTCCCTATCACTCCTCCCTGAGAGAGACTTCACCCTGATTCATAAGGAAAAGGGGACGGCGTATTCTCTTAGCTACTTCCTGCTGAAAAGGGACGCTGTAGGTTTCAGGGTGAAGATCTTCTCTCATTACTCTAAAGGACCCCTTTGGCAATAGGAAACATATAGACTTATGGAGATTGAAAAATCATAAATTTTGAGCTTTTGTGAGCTCCTCAAAGTTACTGCCAATTCCTTTAAATTTCTGTAGTTACTGTTTATTTTTCTACAAGTAAGCTACTCTGAGCTTTTACACTGTGTGAGGGAATTCCCAGGTGAGAAAGTGTCTTCACAGTTTACTTTTGAGGATGAGAATGCTTTAATCAGTATAGCACAAATAACCCAGGTAGCAAGTGCCGGATCTGAAAGACAAATGTAGCTTTCGCCTTAGACATAAGTTATACATGCTACATCTCCATTTTCTTCTTTTTTGCTTAGACTTGCACGTGAACCTACTTTGAGAGAGCATTTGGATGACTGTTCTTTCAATCTGATCATCCAAAGTGCAGTATGATGGGATGGTGCTATTAGAGAGTAAAGGGTCAGAGTTGCTAAAAAGCAGATTAGGTAATGAACATGTAAAATGACAAGAAAACGTGACTTTTTGTAAAACAGCATTTTTCACTCATGTCTTTGTGGGAAGAAGGTGCCAGCTCCTCACGGGTAAACCTGAGGTGTCCGTAATCCTCCTCTGGCAATTGGATGGGAAGCTGTGTGCACAAGTTTTATTATGTACCTTTATCATAAATACCAGCACATTTTCAAAAGAGTCTGTGATTCCCACAAAGATGATGAGCTCCTGGTTTAGCCGCAGCTTCTGAAAGGATAGATTTGAGTTCAGGGATAATTAACTATATGACTGCACTTGTGCTGGTCTGTAGAGTAACCACTCACATCATGTGACTTCTGAGCACTAGAAATAAGTGTGCTGGTCTGTAGAGTAACCACTCACATCATGTGACTTCTGAGCACTAGAAATAAGTCCGTTTTACATTCAAATGTAAAATGTATGCCAGTTCTCAAACTGTGCAAACTATTTATCTGTGCGTGTGTATATATGCATGTATCTCCTTAAAATTGTTTTCTATTGATTACTTTGAAACAAAACTAGTTGCCATTAAGTCAGTCCTAATTCATGGTGAGCTGTGTGTGTAGAAGTTGCCTCATAAGGTTTTCAATAGAAATCTCTTCCGTAGCACCTCTGGGTGGACTTGAACCTTCAGTCTTACAGTTCATAACTGTGCATTCATTTGATTACACCACCCTTGAGTTCCTTCTAATGATTACATATTGAAATTTTTTTTTTTGGTTTTTGTTTTGTTTTGTTTTGTTTCTAGGGGTTTTTTTAAATTATGTTTTGTGATATGTATATTTTTAAAATTAATTTTGTTTATTTTTATGTGGCTCCTGGGCAACTTTGAAGTAGATTTGTGACTCATGTCTGTTACACTGTGTTCCACTAGGACAGGGCTGCTCCAAGTATTTCTGAAGGACTAGTGGAGAAAATGTTAAAATTCTGAGTGGGGGGAAAAAAATGAACAGCATCATCCATGAATAGCTGCCGCTTTGTGATGCCGCTTTGTGATGAGACAAGAACTGTGTGATGCCTTCCTGATGCTGTTAAGCATTTTGAGCAAACATTCTAGAAGAAGAACCTTGAGCAAAGGAGGGAAAGTGGGGAACAGAATTTCCAGTGTTCTTGGAATCAAAACTTTTTGGCACCATTGAGGCTTGATGAACTGCCTGAATGAATACCTTGAGATAATCTTTGAGCCTCACATGGAAACAATACCAGGAGGTCTTCTCTAAAGCAAACAGTAGTATTACTTAACTAGTAACAGCCTTGATCGTGTGCTCTCTTTAAAAAACTGTCTGGGTTCACACAATAGCCCCTTGAAGGACCAGACAGGAATCCTTAGGAAGTGGTAAGTTCACGTTATATTAGTGGAATAGTTCAGAAAAGGAGAGTGATGATGGTTTCACAATTTGAATATGAACATTATTGGATTGTACAAACCAGGATCTCTGGTATATGTTGTTTGTGTATATTTCCAGTGAAAAAATGTTGAAAAAGAAATCGCTGACATTCAGTGACTGGAGTGCAGCCAGGATCTTACTACCTGGCTTTGGAAATCACAATCTGTATACTCTTTGCCTGGGTAGCACCAGTAAACTCTGTCCTGGGAAGAGCCACAGGAACCAGTTACTGAACACTGGATTTGACCTCAGGAATAGCCCTGTAGGGAGATATCTAAGCACCCTCCTGGGGCTTCTGTGGCTCAGGACTCTGGGATTTTTAAGTCAAATGACTGTTTTTGCCAGTAACCTGCTGCTTTTAAGCTTTCCACTTACCCTCCCCCGGCCACCTGATCCAGACCCTTACCCTCTCACAGGAATGTTTGGGCAGACACGGGCGTTCTGTTCTGATAAAACTAGGCCAGGAAGCTTGATAATATGGAACCAGGTGCAACATCTTCCACAGTCTCACTTTGTCAATGTTGTTTACTTGTATTTTAAAGACGCACTGACTTGTTATTTCTCCAGACATTCTCCGCAAACTCTCGCTCTGTTCTTTCAGGCAGTACTACGCGTACCTCACGGACACACAGTGCAAGCGCGTGGGGACCCAGTGCTGGGTGTTTGGGTGAGTAACTGTGAGCATGGAGGCGGAAGGACCACTGGGGCCTCTGACTTCTTTTTGCTCCTTTTTACACACTTAGCCCTGTGTTAACTGCCTCTCAGTGCACTTTTCCTCTGAAGGCAGATGAAGGAAATTGGCTATCCTTTCTGATACACCATTTATTTTTACCATTTGTTTTCCCCTCTATTCCTTTTTCTGATCTAAATTTAGAATAGTACTTACCAAGAGAGTATAGAAAGAACTTTTAAAAAAAATTGTTAGAAATTATTTCTGATATAGAATTTTGAAACCTATTTGTTAAATAGAACATATGGAGGAAATGTATTTTGCATTTGGGACCACATTTCGTGAAGGGCTTACACTTCATTATACGTTGATAGCAAAAAGACCCTTTAAAACAGCTGTTTGCTCTGCACTGAAATACAGGTTTTCTTTTCCTCAGAGAAGTAACACATAACCACTTGGTCATAATTAATATAGCCACTTGGTCGTAACGTAAATAAATGCTTTATCCTAATTTGTTACTGAATTAAAAAGAGACAAGAGACTATGTAGTTAACCCCCTAGTTTTAAATGTGAGATCTTCTTTCTCATCGCTGGTTAACAGACCTTTAAACATCACCAACAATTTATAGTTTCGTTTCCCACCTTTTGTGTGTATGTCTTGCGTGTGTGTGTGCATGCCCCAGCTCTCATTCCAGACCCTGAGGGGTCACTTGTAAGGTTGAAGGGTAAATACATTGATACTCAGGTTTAGGCAAGTTGGGTTTAGAATTTGGTTGGTGTTTTTTTTCTTGGTGAACCATTATCATTTGTTACAAATTCTGTGGTGTAAGTTGATTTTCTAACCAATAATGACTGCCGCTTAAAAGGTGATGAGATGGATTAAATTCCCTTCAATGAATGATGTAGGAGAAGAAAGAACGTACACGTCTACCCAAATTTCTAATACACGAAGCAAAGAGGATTCACACGCACGCACACACTCACTCTCTCACTCTCTCTCTCTCTCTCTCTCTCTCTCTCTCTCTCGATGTAGGACACGTCTATTGTGTGACAGAAGGGAGCCATGTGGGGCTTTCCTTACTAATGGCCTCTGCATTTAACCCATCCCCTCTTCCACTTAGATTCTCTTTTTCACTTGCATTTTTTCCTTCATATTTGTCTTTAATGTTTTCTACTAGACCATTTCTGCTTGCTTGTTGAGAAAAAGACATGCGACATGCGTTGAAAAGGAGGGTAATGTTACAGTCAAATTTCTCTCTCATCATCCAGAAATTACTATTTTCTAGAATAGTGGGAGAAATGGCAAAGATAAAGCTAGGCCAAAGAATCATAGCAGAAATAGCTCCAGAAAGTTTTATCTTGTTGGAAGATGATTAAAATAAAGTAAAAATGTAAGTGAGACATCATTTGGCTTGTTTACCAAGAAGAGAAAACTCCCAAAATAGAAATATCAAGATTAATAAGTCTCTAAGGCTGAGCTGCAAATTCTCCATCAATCAGGCACCTTGATGTGGGCCAGCCGGTTGTGCCCCCTGCTGGTCAGTAAAAGGCAAACTAGGTAGTTGGGGCGTCCACTCAGCCCCTGTTCCCTAAGACTTCTGTAGCCCTCATTTTTCTCTCATTTCCTGTTGTATCAAAACAATACACGTTTAAATGTCTGCTTTTGCTAGTAATTTTATAACTTCCTTTTCCCAAATGATGGGCTGATTTTGGTCTTCTGCAGGGTGTGGATGTAGGAGAGGGTATCGAGTGTGAGCCTCCTATATAGTGACGTTCAGGACTTTTGTCCTTTGCGAATGACAAGAGGTAGAAGAGAAGGGAGAAGACTGGCTAGGATTCCCTCAGGGTTCTTTCCCACCATTCCACTTCAGCTTTTTTCCCAGGAAGAGAACACTTGCCTTCTGTAAATGTTATAGCTCTTAAAAAGTCTGCGTTAATGACTTGCTGAAACTAGAGATGGCCCTGCAATGTGGTCTCCAGCAGCTGCTCCATATCTGAGCTTTTAATCCCTTTATACTTAAACGGGTCATGTATCACAGAGATAGGACGCCATCCAGCCTGGGCACGGAACCCTGCCAGGGAGAAAGCAGTGGTGTGGAAAGCTGACTACTTCTCCATTTGGAAAGATGCGTTTATGTTACCTCAGCTCAGTGGGAGTCTAAGCACTGCAGTGAACAGACTCCCCAGATAGGCCGTTTATATCGTCTTTATCACTCCTCTTCTGCCCCGGCATTGCTGTAACTGAGCTTCTGTGCCTCAGAAAGAGAATATGAGCCTGGTTGGTGAAGGAGAGATGTGTTCTCTCACCAGCTCCTAGAGGCAGGAGGCTGCACTCTGGCTGGAGCGGGAATGGGTAGTCCCTTACCTTCTTCCTGCAGTTCTTGGGAACATGGGCCTCTCTTCTGCCCAGGTGCCCCCAGGAATGCACCCTGCCTCACTGTAAGAGCTGCTCAGCCTCCTGTTGCCCCTGGTGCCCTCAGCTCTACCAGTCATGCCTTCAGAGCGCTGTTGTTCTTACAGACTCATTTCTTTAGACTCCTGTTTTTATCAGAAGGTGAACACAGCTATGGAACACTCAGTCTCTTCTAGAAGAGGGTGTGTGCTGAGGGACATGGGTGGCTGTAAGGACCTCATCAAGCTCCTGGTCCCTGCCCAGCGCTGGTGCCTCGACGGCTCTTCCTGCTGGTAGTTCACAGCCTGCCTTCAACACCCTTTCCCATCCACACCTCTGCTTTGGGCCCACCATGCACTCCCTCTTCACCCATCCTACCAGTGTTCATCTTGTCATCCTCTCTAGACATCAGCACCCTCCGCCGTTCCCTGCTCCCATGCTCAGAAGTACCCCTACTTCCTTCTCAACATCTCTTGTAGTTTTAAAGATTTAATTTATTTATTTATTTATGTATTTATTTTATTTTTTTTTTTTTTTCTGATAGCAGCTCAGTTTCTCTTCAGAGGACGTCTTCACCAGAATTCAAAAAGATTTAAAAACAGCAGAGCACAACTGCCTTACATACGCTGCCCAGGCCCTTTTGTTCCTCTCATCCCATCCCCAGCCTCCCCTGTGGTTCCTTAGAAACCAGAATTAGCACCACACAATGCAAATGAAACTTTATCTGTTAAGGTTCAGCTCGACCATCGACCATGACTTTCTTTGTCAAAAAGGTAATCTGGTCACCCTAATTAGGACTGAGTCCTGTGGCTCCTCTGAGTGTCAGAAACGCCTTCTGTGTGGTGGGGTTGGAGGTGTGTTATGGGTAAATGTTGAGTCACCTGTTGGACGGTGGCTCTGGCTGCTCAGGTGACTTGCCCATCCCTGAGCAGCTGCCCCGTGGTCACGATGTCGCTGTGGGTACCCTCAGAATCCAGGCCACGTCTTCCTGGCAAGCCAGAAGCCGTTCTTTTGTGTCTCAGGATTGGCACGTCTACCTGGACACACTGAGCCTAGAGGTTCATGTCCCTAATTTCTTTTGTAGCCCTGTTTGCATTCTTCTGTTCCCTAGAGAATGTTGTATCCTCGTCTTTTTCTACCTTGTGGAAGCGGCTCTGGAGAGAGGAGCCGTGGGAGTGCCTGAGTCAGCAGTGCGTGAGTCAGGAGTTGTAGCTCCTCCCGAGGTGGAACCACCTCCAGCAGTCCGAGGGCTTATCTGCCTTTTAGCTTTGCTAAAGAAAAGTTCATGCCTTTGAATTGTGGTTCTGGAGAAGAGTCCTGACTGTCTGGCTGAAGGTAGGGCAGCCAGGGTACAGCTTAGAACAAGGATGGTGACACTTTACGTCACATACTTAGGGCATGTTGCCCAGTTCTTGGAAAAAGACGTAATACCAGGAAAGGTAGAGGGTCAGAGGAAGAGGAGAGCCTTCAACAAGATGAATTGACACAGTGACTGTAACAGTGGGCACATCAGAGACCATGAGGGATGACAGAGTACAGGGCAGGGCTCAGATCTGTTCACAGGGACTGTGTGAGTCTTGTCAACTGGACGGCATAGTAACAACAATGATTGGAGAGAAGACTGGCCAAAGGACTCTTAGAAAAAGAGACCACTGTAAATTCCATCAACTCGCTTTCTCTGAACCTGGTAAAGATCAGTGAGACTTAAATATGAACTGAGGAGAGGGAAGGAACCCCAGGGGTGTTGAAACAGAAACAGCTAGCCAACTTTATGATAGAGGCCCAAGAGTTTGGTCTCAGCCTTAAACCTATTTGAATCTTGGTACAAAAATAATACTGACCTTGTAGAAGGATGTCCTGTTAGGAGCCCTGGTGGCACGGTGGTGGGCGGGTCACACGTACCTAGCAGCTCTGAAGGAGGAAGACCTGGCAGTCTGCTCCTCTAAAGATGAAACCAAAACCTAACCTGTTGCCATGCAGCTGACTCCAGCACACAGCAACCCTTCAGGACAGGAGAGGTCTGCTGTATGCAGTTTCCAAGTCTGTAAATCTTCATGGAAGCAAACTGCCTCATTTTTCTCCTGTAGAGCAGATGTTGGCTTTGAACCACTTACCTTCCAGTTAAGAGCTAAACATTTAACCACTCTTCCACCAAGACTTCTCCTGCAAAGAATACAGCCTAGAAGACAAGACACTGTAGGACTGTTTTCTTGTATGGTGTCAATATGCATCAGATCCGTAATGCCTAACAACAGTTACAAAGGACTGTTGCTCACTAAGATACCCTTTATCGACTGGGGTTAATGTTGGGGAGCAGCAGCTGGTGTGTAAGGAGTCACTGCTGCAGTTGATTTAATAAATCCCAGGCCTTTTTCACATTTATTCTGTCCCACCGCTTCTCACCATCTCTGCAGCCTCCACCTGGGCTTCCCACCTAGGTGAGTATTACAAGAGGCTCTTACTTACTCATCACCCTGCTTCTCCTCGGCCCCCTTCCATTCTCAGTTCAGCAGCCAAAGTGAACATATTAAAATGTCAGGAGAATCCAGTTAAGCCCTCTGTTCCCAGACCTCCAGAGACCTTTGTCCCCCTTATGCAAAAATCC